ATTTGCTCTGAAAGATTTACTTTGGTTTAGTGTGCTAAGTAGAGGACATTCCTATGTCTTAAGTTTTAGTTATGTCTAAGTGTCCAACTCCATTTGTTATAAGATTTATTAGCTTCCTGGTGCTTCTTTAAAGTTAAGTTTTTCAGACATGGACTCTTGGTTCCATGTCTTTCTCTCTGTAACACTTCCCTGTTTCAAAGTCAAATGGAGACTCCTCCTCCTCCTCCTCCTCCTGCTGTTAGTGATGCAGTTGTTTCTTTTTTTTTTTTCTTTTAAAGATTTTATTTATTTGAGAGGTAGAGTTAGACAGTGAGATAGAGAAAGACAGAAAGGTCTTCCTTTTTCTGTTGGTTCACCCCCGAAATGGCCGCTATGGCTGGCGTGCTGCGCTGATCCAAAGCTGGGAGCCAGGTGCTTCCTCCTGGTCGCCCATGTGGGTGCAGGACCCAAGCACTTGGGCCATCCTCCACTGCCCTCCCGGGCCACAGCAGAGAGCTGAACAGGAAGAGGAGCAACCGGGGCAGAATCCGGTGCCCCAGCTGGGACTTGAACCCAGGGTGCTGGCGCCGCAGGCGGAGGATTAGCCTAGTGAGCCGTTGCACTGGCCAATACCTCCTTCTTTGATGGTCTCTTCACTGGTATCTCACTCACAGAGCTCTTTCATCTAGGCCATTTTTTGCTACAGTGTCTTAGCTTTCCATGCTTGAAATGCTCTCATGGACTTTTTAGCCAGATCTGAATGCCGTATTAAGGGTTGATTCTGAGGCCATTAGGGCGTTTTTCATTCTATGAGTCTGCTATGTGGCCTGTTTCCCATGTTGGATCATTCTCTCCTTTTTAATTCTATCTATTGTTGTTAGCAGACATTTGTCTAATAAGATCTATTTTCAATTAACTTTATACACAGAAGATTATAATAGGTAAAGCTCAACAAATAGTATGGAAAGAAAATTTGTTCCTCAACAGTTTCCTTATTTCCCTTTTGATTTATTGTATGACCCAGTGTTCATTCAGGAACATGTTGTTCAGTTTCCATATGTTTGCATATGTTCTAGAGAATCTTGAGTTGTTGATTTCTAGCTTCATTCCATTGTGGTCAGTGAAGGTGCAAGCATGGTATCATTTAGATTTTTTTGAATTTGCTGAAAATTGCTTTATGGCCGGCCTGCAGTCTATCCTAGACAGAGTTCCATTAATTGGTGAGAAGAATGTGTAATCTGCAACTTTAGGATGAAAAGTTCTATAGATATACATTAGGTCCATTTGGTCTACAGTGCCAATTAACTTTTGTTTTTTTGCTGATTTTCTGCCTGATTGATCTATCCATTGCTGTAATTGTGGTATTGAAGTCCCCCATTACTGTTGTATGGGAGTCTATGTCTCCCTTTAGATCCATTGACATTTCTTTTAAATAGCCAGGTGCCGTATAATTAGGTGTGTATACATTCATCATAGTAACATCTTCCTGTTGAATTGATCCCTTAGTCATTACATAATGCCCTTCTTTGTCTCTCTTAACAGTTTTTGCGTTAAAGTCTATTTTGTCTGATATTAGGACGGCTACACCAGCTCTTTTTTGCTTTCTGTTAGTATGGCATATCTTTTTCCATCCTTTCACTTTCAGTCTGCTTGTATCCTTGTTGGTGAGATGTGTTTTTTTGCAGGCAGTAAATAGAGGAAAAAATTTTTTTTTTCCATTTAGCCCGTCTGTGCCTTTTAACTGGGGAGTTGAGGCTATTTACATTCAGGATGATTATTGATAAGTAACCACTTGGACCTACCATTTTTCCATAAATATTACTGTTGTTTACTTTGGATTTCTTTTGTACTTTTACTGGGAGATTTTCTGCTTTCACATTCATTACTATATTTTCTGTGTGTAGCACGTCCTTAAGCATCTTTTGTAAGGTTGGACGAGTTTTGACAAATTCTTTTGATTTCTATTTGTTATGGAAGATCTTTATTTCACCTTCATTCATAAATGAGAGCTTTGCAGGATACAGTATTCTGGTTGAAAGGTTTTTTTCTCTTAAGACTTGGACTGTATCTTGCCATTCTCTCCTAGCCTATAGGGTTTCTGATGAGAAGTCAGCTGTCAGTCTAATTGGAGATCTTCTGAATGTAATCTGTCGTTTCTTTCATGCATATTTTGGAATCTTCTCTTTGTGTTTTACTGTGAAGAGTTTGACTAGGTTGTGTCATAGTAAAGATCTCTTTTTGTCTATTAGGAGTTCTATGTGCTTCCTGTACTTGGATGTCCCTTTCTTTCTTCAAATTAGGGAAGTTTTCTGTGATTATTTCACTAAAAAGGCCTTCTAACGCATTCTCTTTCCATGCCTTCAGGAACTCTTAAGACCCATATGTTGGGTTGTTTGATAGTATCCCATAGCTCTCTGACACTGTTTTTTAGTTTTCTAATTTCTTGTTTTTTTTTTTTTGTTTTTTTTTTTTTTCTTTATCTGCCTGTAAAATTTCCAGAGATTTATCTTCTAAGTCGAGTATTCTTTGTTTTGCTTCACTGATTCTGTTGCTAAATATTTCCACTGCATTTTTTATTTGTTCTTCATTTCCAATATTTCATTTTGATTTCTCTTTAAAATCTCAATTTATTAGATAAATTTTTTTCATGTCATGTATGGATTTCTTTAATTCATGTATTTGTTTCTGATTATTTCTAAGTGATCTTATGGTCAATTTTTTGAAGTCCGTTTCTGGCATTTCTTCAATCTCTTCATTTTCACATTCTTATATTGAAGTGTTGTGTTCCTTTGGGGGCATCATGTTGTATTCTTTATTCTTGTTTCTTGAATTGCTGCATTTATTTTTAGGCTTTTGTGGGGATACTTGTTGGTTTATTTTTCCCCCCCTGTGATGGATTTTGTCTTTGTGCTATGCTTCTGTGTGTTAGTGGAGTGTCTGCTCTTTCAGTGAATACCCTGAGGCATGTTCTCATTGTTGACAGGGAGCTCTGTTCAGTGCTCCAGGGTGAGGGGAGTATCCAAGTTAACTGCCAAATTAGGTGTGGTTAATCTCCTTTTTTTATTTTTATATGAGGGGAGGTTTGTTAATTTCTGTTCTTATAGTCTCATGCTCACCTCCTCTCCTCCAAGGAGATCAATGCCTGGCGCTAGCCCCAGTGGGTACATTATTCATTCAGGCTGTCACAATATTCACACAAAGGATTCATGCAGTCCTTGGCGTGAGCACAGATCCTGCAGGAATGACCCTCACTAGGGAACCAGGGAGCCCTGAGCATATGGACCCACCACAGTGACTGCCCGAAGACTAACCACACCCTGTGTCCTCACATGCAGCCTCAGTGTTTTCATAGTCCTGGCACACAAGTGTCCCACAGTCACGAGCACCCAGCCTCCTTTCAGTTCTCCTAGTGAGACTCAGGCGTTGCCTCTCAGCTGGTTGCTAGGTGTTCGGACTTGAGCTGGCACAGCTGTGACATATGTCCAAAATGGCACCTGCCCACACTCTACTAGTTACAGGACACCAGTGCCAGATAGTCAGGGAGGGAGAAATATGCCCCCTAATTTTTCCTCTTGGTTGGCAGATATACTGTCCTCCACAGTGCTCCAAGCCAGACTCATGCCAGGCTCTTACTGGAGCTTTATTGCCAGTGGCTTGGGCTGCTGAAGTGTGGTCTCACCTCACTCTCCAAAGCTGGTGCTGAGGCTCTTGGCTGCTGGTGTCCTGAGTTCTGTGCATCTGCACCCTCCACGTAGTTCCGTGGTGTCCCTCTAATTTGTGAGGAGTTTCCTCTACAGTTTTCTCCCTAACTCTTCCATGAGATTGCACTTGCCACATTTTTTTTTTTTTAAGTTATCTTCCCCTAGACTAGAGTAAGCTCCCTTCTTATTCCACCATCTTGGTGCCTTGGCATATATTCTAACCTTAGGAAAGTGGGCTCTTTCTTTCAAGAGAAATGAAGGTATTCTATGTATAAGATCACCAAAGATGAAAAAGCAGCTAAGGACATTTCTGGGAATGACAGGATTCTGTAGAATATGGATTCCAGGATTTGGGTTAATAGCCAAGCCTATGTATGAAGTGCCCACGTGGGAATGCCGGCCCCACAGGGTGGGGGTTCACCTACCATGCCACAGAGCCAGCCCCATGATGCTGCTTTAAAAAACAGACCCCTGTATAACTTACTTAGAACTTGTGCCCTCTTTCATTAGTTTCATGTAGGAATTCTTGGCATCTATGACCCTGGGACATTGTTCTTTTTATGCATTTAGAAGTATTGAATTTTGAGGGTCATTTTGCTTGAAAACTTGAAATTATGTGTGGTAAAATTAGCACTGTATGGAAATAGAAAAAAGATGAAGATATGCATGGAAGATTCTACCCTATTGTGCTTTGATTGATCTTAAAAAGCTTTTTTGTATATTGTTATCTACATTAGCATTGCTATAGTGAAAATATGAAGCTGGTTACTATACTTTATTGTACTTTGTCTAATAGCATTTAGATTTGTATTTAAAAATTTTTTATTTTATTAGAGAAAAATAGTGCTCTGTCCGTGGGTTTATTCTCCTCAGGCCTGGAAGGGCTTGCCTGGTGGAAGCTGGGAGCTGGGAATGTATTCAGGTCTCCTGTGTGAATAACAAGGACTCAGCTACTAGAGTCATCAATGCCTTCCTCCCAGGGTATGCATTAGCAAAAGATTGGAATTGGAGTGGAACTAAATCCTGGGTGCTCCAGTGTGGGGTGTGGATATCTCACCAGTAGCTTAACCATTAGGTGAAAAGCCCACCTCCTACTTAGCATTTAAGATATGGGTTTCCCTGATTTCTCTTGTTTCCTATGTATAATGTATACTTTGGATGGAAGTTTTAGAGCAGAGCATAGTGTTGCTGACTCCGACTTAGGTATGGTATATTTCTATTATATCCCTCTCTGTAGGTGAGGACCTTGTTGCCAAAGACAAAGTGTGTGGTTTTCTAACTTGTCATTGTAACAGTTCTGTTTCTTTCTTTTCTTTTCAGGGGATACAGTTAATATTGGAGATGTATCCTACAAATTGAAAACACCTAAGAACCCAGAACTTGTGCCACAGAATTACAGTAAGAAATATTCTTTTATTTATGAATGAATAACTTTGAACTTTTCATCTTGGGAACTTTCCAAATTATACAAGACTCAGGAGAATAATATGAACCTTATGTGCTTATCATCCACATTTATCAGTACTGTGCCAATCTTCTTTGAGCAGAGCCCTAGTTTTTGTGCATGAGTGTTTTTTAAAGCTTAACCCAGATAACCTGTCACTTCATCCATGAATGTTTCAATAAAACATGTATTTTTTTCACATGCTGCTCTTTCCTTTCTACTTGGAATAAAATTTATATATACGAAAATGCATAGATTATGAGTGTTTGTTTCAATGAATTTTGACAATATTACAAACCTGTTAACCACTAAAATATTTTTGTCACCTGAATCTTCTCTTGTGTCCCTTGCCCTGTTAACCTGCTTTGCAAATGGCTGTTTTCTTTTCTACCATGAGAGGTTAGTTTTGCTGGTCTCTAGCTTTATATAACTAGAATCATATGGTATAGTTTGTGTGTGTAATTGTGTATCTGGCTTTTTTCTATCAAGATCATGATTTTAAAGTTTGTCCATATTGCTGCACCAGTTTTTCATTTTTAATTATTGATTAGTATTCCATCAAGTGTGTATATGTGTTGCTGTGGATTTGTTCTGAGAGGAGGAGCATAGTGGGGGCAAGAGGCACGGAGTCACCACACAGACACCGGGAGTCAGGTGAAAGCGGGCCAGAGGTGAACAGCCAGCAGACTCATTTATTTCAGTTGGTACAGCAGCTTATATAGCTGAGGCAGCCAATCCAGTTAAGGGGCAGTTTATGCCCTAGCCAATCACTGCCTGTTGCCAGGCAGGCTCCATTGCCAGGTGGGTTTTGAAGCCATTCCTGAGTAACTAATGCTCGCTTGCCAGCGGTCATCTTGGCATGGCCTTCTCATTCCACCACATTTCCCCCTTTTCGTTTATTTTTGAGCAACGGGAGGCATGATCCTTAGCCATACCATTGTTGACCCCGTTTCCATGTGGTCTCCGTACGTGGCTGTGCCTGTCTAGGTTGTTCCCCAGGGGATCTTACCCGTCATTGACTAACCAGCCCTCAAAACGGGAGACCACAGGAGTGCTTGCTCAGATGGGGGTAGGAATGAGGAACAATGGTAATCAGGAATGGTGAGACTGCACGCAGGCTGTTGGCTGTTCGAATGGCTGACCAGAGCTAAGTGGGGTATAAAGCAGTAGCAGATGTGGCTATGGGCAGTTTCTCAGGGTAGGATGTTAGGGCAGGTGCGTCCACTAACAAAGCGGACTCTCAGTCTTGTTCAGCTGGTTCTGGTTGACCATCAGTTGCAGGCTTGATGTTTCTGGATGGTACCCAAATGGGCTGTCCTGCATTCTCTGGAAAGACATAAGCATATCTTCGGCCCTTGGTTAGCAGAGGTTGTGGTCCCTTCCATTCTCCTGTCAGGGGGTTTTTCCAGCTAGTCATAGGGGCTGGAGTCTGGAATGGAAAGGATTCCCAGTGTTTATAAGCTGGGCTGACCCCTTGGGAATCAAAAGTAAGAAAATTTATAGTGAAAAGGACCTCAGTCAAAGCAAGCTGTGGGTCTGGGGGCATATGACTGTTTTTCTGTCTTTGAAAGAGATCTTTAATCTTCCTATGAGTTCTTTCAGTGATTGCCTGTCCCTGTGGGTTGTATGGGATACCTGTGGCAAACTGTATGTTTCAGGACCTTAGGAAAGAATTAAATTCCTGTGATGTATACACTGGCCCGTTATCAGTCTTTATCGTCCAGAGGACAACGAGGGCCAGCATGGCTGACTTAACCACATTACTAGCCTTTTCTCCAGATTGGGCTGTTGCAAATACAGCCTTTGGATAAGTATCTACCACCACGTGGACAAACTTAAGTTTACCAAAGGTTAATGTGGGTGACGTCCACTTGCCAGAGCTTATTAGGAGCAAGGCCTCGTAGGTTCACTCCTGCTTGTTGCAGTGGGCCTAACGGGGTGAAGGGGGCACAGTTCTTGCAATAGTGTATTAGGTGTTTGCATTGGCTCATTGTTAGCTCCGGGCTTGCTTACATATGAAATTTTTGGTGTAGAATATAGGCTTACTCTAGGTGTCCGATGAAAGCTGTGTTGTAGAAGACGATCAACCTTTCTGTTGCCTTGGAAAATAAAGCCAGATAACCCAGTATGTGATCTTATATGTGAGATATACCATGGGTGTTTTCTATTCTCAGTTAGCTCTTTAAGTGTTGTGAACATCTGGTCAATTGGCTTATTGGTCGGGTTAAAGACTGCAAAAGGGATTGTCTTTGCTACCTATACTGAGTATTTACTGTCCGAAAATATATTTACCAGCCCATCCTGGCTAAGAAGTAGAACCTTGACTATTGCCCTTAATTCTCCCAACTGTACTGATCCCCCATGGGGTTCTACATGGATCTTATCTTTTTGAGGATTTGACCACTATTCCAAACAGTGACTTGTTGGTGTCCATAAATGCACACAGTGCCATGGGTATAGGTTGATTAGCAGGGGAAACATGTTTTGGATAGTCTGTTTCTAAGGTTTGTAATGTCTAGAGTAGCCTGTGCACCAGCAGGTGATTGTCAACCTGTCCTGGGAAACTGATCATTAAAGTTTGAAAGAGCGTGCTATTCTGCATCAATGTGGACAGTTCTAATTGTGATAAGGGTAGGACCACTATGTCTGGCTCTGTGTTAAATATCTTACTGGCATAACATCTTAATTTAAGTCCCATCATAAGGATGGCATCTACTTTGTTAACTATTTTACGACACTCGCTCCAAGCTATATGCACACGAAAAAGTGGTCCGTATTGTTGCCAAATAACTCCTAAGGGGGCCTTGAGGGTAGATATGGTTATGGCAAATAGAGGCACCTGAAATTCATATCTAAAGGTTTTTAAATTTGGCAACTGGGTGTTGATCTTTTCTATAGTGGATTTGGTTGCTGATGTACTCATATATCAATATATATACACATACACATATCACATATACATATACATATATCTCCATATCCCATAGTTTGTTTACCTGTTTTCTTGTTGATGGATATTTGGCTGGCTTCCATTTTTGGATTGTTATGAATAAGATGCTATGAACATTCCTATAAGAGTAATAAGCTATTACTTCTCTTGAATAAAGAACCTGAGTTGAGTTGATGTGTCTCAGGTTAAATGCCTATCTAACCTTATAACACCACTGCCAAACAATTCTCCAAAGGAGTTGTACCATTTTACCCTTTGATCAACAGTGATGTTCTACATCCTTGCCAAAAATTGCTCTTTAGGTTTTTTTTTTACGATTTTTAAAAAAATTTATTTGAGGCTGGTGCCCCAGCTCAATAGGCTAATCCTCTGCCTGCGGCGCTGGCACACCGGGTTCTAGTTCCGGTTGGGGCGCCAGATTCTGTCCCGGTTGACCCTCTTCCAGGCTAGCTCTCTGCTGTGGCCAGGGAGTGCAGTGGAGGATTGCCCAGGTCCTTGGGCCCTGCACCCCATGGGAGACCAGGAGAAGCCCCTGGCTCCTGGCTTCAGATCACCTTGGTGCGCTGGCTGCAGCACGCCGGCCACGGCGGCCATTGGAGGGTGAACCAACGGCAAAGGAAGACGTTTTCTCTCTGTCTCTCTCTCTCACTGTCCACTCTGCCTGTCCAAAAAAACAAAAAAATTTACTTGAAACTACTAATGTACTCTCTGTTATTTGGAGTTATCTGTTCTGGACATTCCATATAAATGGGATCATATGTGACGTTCTTTCATTACATGAGTATTCTCCCTTTTGTTTATCTGTTTACTGATTTGTGGACATTTGAATTCTTTCTACTTTGGGGCTGTTAAAAATAATGCTTCTATGAACATGATTATGCAAGTTTTTGTACAGACATATGTCTTTAGTTTTCTTGGGTATATACCTAGAGGAGGAGCTGCCAGGTCACATGGTAACTATGTTTAACATTTCAAGGAATTACCAAAATAGATTCCAAGGTAGTTACACCATGTTATAGTCACACCATCACTCTATGAGAGTTCTGGTTTCTCCACATCATCACTAACATTTGTTTTTGTCTTTTTGATTCTAGCCATCTTTGTACACGTGAAGTGGTGTCTCATTGTGGTTTTGCTTTGTATTTCCCTGATGACTTGCACTCACTGTTTTGCTTAAAATCATGTCACCTTTCTTCTCAAAATACTTTAAATGACTAATACCTTCAGAACACAGATCTATCCTTAGCCATCATAGTCTACTCTTAGCCACATCTGATGCCACACTCCTCTCTCCTATTCTATGTTCTAGTAATTGGGAATGATGTAGAATAACTTTTGTTCATTCTTCAGCTTCTTCATGAGGCTATGTGTACCTTAAGGAAAGAGCATCTCACTTCCATTCCACACAATTCCATTGACTCTACCTCCTAAATGGCTCTTCAATCTGATATTCAAGTCCATCGCATTTTTCTTTTACAAATTTTTTAACATTGTTTTCTTAGTATTCATCCTAAGGCTTAACACTGTAACTTAAGTTACTTAGTTTCAGAAAATTAGTCTTTGCTTAGTTTCAATATTGTAGAAAAATCTTGCTACAATGTACTTCTATTTGCTCCCGTGCCCTTTGTGCCATTGTCAGGCAAATGACCGTTTTATAGACTGAAAGTCCATCAACAGTTTTACAATGATTACTTTATGTTTTTTTAAAAAAAAATCAGGAGATGAAAACAGTTACAAACAAAAGTATATTTTACTGTTTTTGGATTTACTCATGTATTTCTCTTTACTGATACTGTTTCTTTATGTAGATTTGAGTGTGTCATGCTTTCATTTCAGCCTGAAGGAAGGACTCCCTTTAGTATTCATTTAAGGGTAGGTTTGTTAATGATGAGTTCTCTCCATTTTTACTTGAAAGTGTCTTAATTTTGCCTGCATATTTTAAAGGATAATTTCACTGGATATAGAATTCTTGGTTGATAATTTCTCTCTCTCTCTCTTTCTTTC